AATTTTGTCAAGTTAACAGATTGGGGTGGGGGTATTACTAACACTATTTTATTTAGTTTTTTGTATATAAATTGTATTCATTGTAAATATTCGTTTAGGTTTCAAGTGTAAACGTTGTTAATTTTATCTCCACTCCGCCAGACAAATTGTAGATATAGGAACTAGTCAGGACTACATAGAGACTCTGAGGTATTATGGGGACTGTAGTAAGAATGATAAATAAGAATATGTTGTTTCGGTGTAAGGAATTCACCTATTCCCACTTTTCTGCATTGTTTTTGTAATATCAAAATATTACTTTCTTCTATGTTAACTAGACTTTAAGGATTTACGCGCAGTACTAGATTGGCGGCTAGGTCTCATCGTTTTACAATTAGCTGTGACGCTTTTCTGATCCAGATAGCCTGACAGCCAAGCAAGATTCTATTTGCCGTAAAGCACACCTCGTTTAGACTTTAATGTAAGACTTTTTTGAAGACCTGAGTAAAAATGCCGCAGGCAAAATAATGACATCCGGTTGATGTTTCTGCAAGTGTTAAATATTCCCAAGCTTGATGTACAGAACAAGGACTGTATTTTACGAGGTCTACGTTATCGAGCAATGGAAATTCGATATTTATTTGTCTAAGCAGCTGCTGAAGAGGGACAGTGCAATTTATTAGAACGGAAGTCGCCTTGTTACCTTCTGAATTTATGTCTCGGAAAAAAAAAATAAGGAAAACTTTTACGTCGGATTTTTTTTATTATTTCAGGAGAAGGTCCAGTCTTTAAAATTTACCAACATTTAAAAGATTCCCCGAGTTTTAAAAATCTTTTATAAATCTTTGATCTTCTTATCAAAAACAAAAAAAAAACAAAAAAAAAAAAAAATAAATCTGTTTAATTCAGTTTTCTTAAAACAGAATTGAATTATTTTAAAAAAGGAAATAAATTTGCTGATTAGTTTAATTATTATTATTTTATTATTAAAACAGAATTATTATTATTTTGGTAAAAAGGCTCCCTTGAATCTAAGGTAAATTTGCATCATGATTTCCACTGATTATATATATATATATATATATATATATATATATTATTATATATATATATATATATATATATATATTACATAGATAAAACCTTTGAAAGTTTCTGTGTGTGAGAACAATTTTTTGAATTGCTTTGAGCATGGACTTCCAGGGAATCCCTTCAATGAGTCTCTGGAATCTTTTCCAAAATCCTAGGGCTCCAACATGACATTGTTGATGTTCCCTGACTATATTATTATATATATTGTTGCTGTTCTTCTTCTTTTTCTTTTATTTTTATTATTATTATTATTATGATGATGATGATGATGATGGGTAAGTGGCCGAGTGGTTAGAACTTTCGCATTCTGACCATGAGACCAGGTTCAAATTTATCAGGAATCAGACTTCCTGATGTTATCGGACTTGGAAAGTGCCTGAAAACCATACCACGGGTTGACTCAAACCTTGTGAGTGAAATTGGGAGAACAGAACTAGTTGTGTTATAAACATCGTGGCAGGTTTTTATTGGCTCTTGAAATTGTTGATGACGCTAGTTCTCCAGAAACTGTAATCACTCAATAGTTGCTGTATAAACCTTGGCTCTGTGGGTGTTGAATAATCACAAATGCGCCTGAGAAAGCGTCAGCAATAGGGATTGACTAGCCGACATAGTAGACGGGTATATATTGTCGGACTTTGTCCATTTCATAACGTGTGACGTCATTTGTTTACATTTGGATACGCCATCAGCAGATATGAATGTACATGAGAGATTCATGGAAGATTGTAGTTTAAAGACAGTAAAATCGACCTTTTATATGACAATTTCTCGGACATTCAGGCTGGTTTTAAATGTTGTTAATACTGTTTATTATAAAACAGAGCATTAACTTAAATATTTGTATCTATAAAAAGAATGTATAGACATAAAAATGTCTTAAAATAATTGTCGGACTTTCATAATAATATATATATATATATATATATATATATATATATATATATATATATATATATATATTTAACTTGCCAAATTCCCATCTTATGGATATTTCTCTTAATAAGAATGTCAAAAATAATTCAGCAGACGATCTTATTTCATTTATGGTAACTGGATTTTTGGCGATTACTTGGTTTCTGTCTTCGATAATGTGCGTTTGGAAAATGGTATTTTTATTGAGTTTGTCATCTCGTCTTAGCATTTTTCCTCGGAGAGGTTCAAATAATATTAAGCCGAAACCCCGGGAAGGCGTTGTGTTTATTGCCAGGCGCCTGAGGAAGTTACAATTAGGTTTAGGCAATTTTTTACATGTATTGTCACTAAAACCCACTTTAAACCTCAACCTTTTGACACACTCGGTAGCGACGTGGGCGCGCTGAAAAATACCCGGCCGTTTCGCACGGGGAGGGTCAAATAATATTAAGCCCAAGTCTCAGGGGACCTTCCCATAAGGCAGTATCTCTCCTTCGGGATGGGGCGGGGTTTATTGACCGGAACCTGGGCATCCTCCAAAGGGGAGAGAGGGTTTCGGCAATTTTTTTCACAGTATTGCCCTAAACTCACTTGAAATTGACCTTGTGTCATATTTGGTAGCGACTGTGGCGAACTAAAAAAATACCAACCTCTCAGCCTTTTGGTTAAGATCAAAGTGTAGTATATGTTCTTATTAGTTTAATGATCAGCTTTTTACTTCTATCTTCCCTTCCTTTTCCCTTTCTTTCTTTCATTTTCTCACTGAAACCAAGTAGTGTCTTCTCACTTCTATCCACACGATCCAAACGGAATAGTCCATTATTTATGAGATATTGGCAAGGCTTGAAGGTCGTGTGTACAAACGAAGGGAGGAATAAACAATTATAATAAGATACAAGCATTAGAAAATTATTCAAATTTTTCAATGTGGCTTACGGTTACATCAGGTTGAAACACCTGTTCCGGTACAATCACCGAAGTTAAGCAACGTCAAGCCTGGTCAATACCTAGAAGAGTGAGCGCTTGGAAATACCAGCTGCTGTAAGCTTGGATATTTGGGTGGTGTAATGGATAATGGCTCGGAATTGATAATTGGAAGGCCGAGTTCGAATTCCAGTTTTGTTTGTTATAGTCACTCATGCCAAATCCTCTTGATACATATATAGACCCACCTCTTCTTTCCGCAGTTAATTAATAAGAGTTATATCACTGAAACCGTTATTATTTCCACCCCACCCCACAAAATTAATTGCGTACAAAATATTTAGATATCGGCATTAAATAACCCATAGAGGTGTTGATATACCGTTGAACAAAAACAACCAACCAACAGAGAAAGAAAATTGAAGTGGACTCAGTATAATGACCAAAAGAAGTTTAGAAAATAGATGTCTTGCTGAAAATGATAAAAGCTAAGAAAGATGAACATTTCGTTTGAAACAAAATAAATATTTAATCTCGTTTATTTTTAATTCAAATTTAAAAATTGCACTATACGAGCAAAATTGCTGTTAATAACTTTTTAAATTCATCATGTTTGAAAGAATTTATGTCTACCTCATCAAAATTCAGTCATAAGTTAAAAAATTTCTAGTGTTCATAATATGTAATGTTGTAATCTGCTATTTTACATTATTATAAATTAGTTGAAGGGAATGAAAACAAAAAGAATTTTTATGGAATTATCTAAATAAGTCAAAATAATCTACTTAGATTTTCTTAAAACTGTACAGAATTATTTAAAAAAGTGAAAAATAGTCCATTTGTTGAATTTATTTTTATTATTAATATAAACTAGAAAATTATCCAACTGTTTTTGCCATGGTCACCTGTATGTACTGAGGTGCAGAGAAAGAAAATTCAAATGGACTCAGTATAATGACCAAAAGAACTTTAGAAAATAGATGTCTTGCTGAAAATGTTGTTTATATAGAAATTTCAGAAATAAAAGCTAAGAAAAGGTTAAAGCTAAGAAAGCTGAACATTTCGATCGAAACAGTGTATATGTAACGGCAGTCCTCCTATATATATGGCAGTGAATGCTCGACAATCTCATGAGAGATAAAGAAGAGACGTGAAGCAACAGAAATGTGGTTCTACAGAAGGATGCTAGGAATACCATGGACGGAACATGTGAGCAACGGGGGAGGTTTAAAGGAAAATGGAAACAGAAAGGGCAATTATATTTAACATAAAAAAGGAAGCAGTTGAAATTTCTAGAAAACATAATAAGAAAGGAAGACTTGGCGAATTTGACACTCACAGGACATAATAAATACATGAGAACAATAAAGAAACGACTAGTAAATTCCATAACAAGCCAGTATAAATTTATAAAATGACAGTTTTTTTTTCTTTTTTAAAATCATATTTACGTTCTTGACGCTATACATTCTTTTATCATATGTTCATTCCTTAGCAATATGTAACGAAAGGCGAAATTTCTCATTTTTCATTTTTCATTTTAAATCGATTAGCTTCATTTTTTTTTTTAAATAAAAGAATGTCTCCCCGTCAGCAAGGCAACAATGCTACTGAGGCGCTAGGGGATCTACTGGGAGTAGACGAAGATTAGAAAATGCTAGTGAGTAGAAACGATACGGGATTCAAAAAACAAAATATAGCGATTGATGTTGCATTTAAACTTTTGTAAGTGACAGGAAAGCAAAGAGATAAGAAATTACCACAAACGAGAAGTGCGAGAAAAGAGATTATTACATTTTTAACAAATTTATTTATGGCATATCTATTAACAGGTTACCTGGGTTTGAACGGTGATTTCTTAAAGCAGCTCGTTTATCGTAACATCATGGGGAATGTCCTTTTAAAACATCCCAAGACATAGCAGACATAAAACTGCCTTTGATTATCTTCTGTGTCTTTTCGTCCTTCTCTCGGCCATATTTTTTTTTTTTTTTTTTTAATACTTAGACCGATTTTTTTGTTCAGTTTCTTTACTTTTTTTTCTTCCTGCGTTTGTGACATGTTGTTTTCGGGATGCGGGGCAAATTTTGATGCCATGGCGCCAGTCAACAGCACGTGTTTATCGTAGCGGTTCGAGCCGCGACTGTACGGTTTTGGCTGATCGAAAACAGACGGAGTTCCGACCCGGGGTGACACTGCCAGGCACGGAGCGCACCAACACCCCTGCCGTGGACCTGGGCCGTCAAGGTTGTGCGACTCACCAGCACTAAATTTATATGTACTTGCATTTTTTCCCCATCTAGGGCTCCACGACTTCTTCATCATTCGGCCTTTCCGTCTTTTATGATTTCATTCATTCTTTTCTTTTTTTCTTTCTTTCTTGCTATCACTTTTCTTTCTTTCTTTTTTTTACTTTATTCTTTTCTATTTTTCCATTCCTTTTTTCTTTCTTTCTCTGATTTCATTCATTATTTTCTTTTTTCTTTCTTTTTATTTTCTTTCTTTTCTTTTTCCTTTTTTGATTTCATTCATTCTTTCATTGTGATTTCTTTCGTTTTCTTTCCTTCTTTCTTTTTATTTCATTCATTCTTTTCTTTTTTCTTTCTTTTATCATTTTATTCATTCGTTTCTTGTTATTTCCATTCTTTCTGTCTTTCTTTCTTTTCTTGCCATGACTTTTCTTTTTTTCTTTTTTATTTTATTAATAATTTTTGTTTTTTTCATTCTTTTTTTTTTCTTTCTTTGATTTTATTCATTTTTATTTCATTCATTCGACATTCGTTTCTGTCAATTTCTTTTTTCTGTCTCTCTTTCATTCTTTCGTTTCTTTCTTATATAATTCAATCACTATTTTCTTGTTTTTAAATGCTTTTTTCTAGTCATTTCATTCATTTTTTCTTCATCTATCTTTTCTCTTTCTCTTTTGATTTCATTCATTCTTTCATTCTCTCTTTTCTTTTTAATTTTATTTAATTCAGTTGCAATCATGTTCTTGCTGATTTTTCTTTCTTACTTTATTTCATTCATTTATTTTTCTTCTTTTCTCTCTTCTATTGACTTCTCTTGTCTTTCTTTCTTTTTCTTCTTTTCTATCTTCTGTTGTCTTGTCTTTCTTTCTTTCTTTCTTTCTTTTTCTTCTTTTCTCTTCTGTTTTCTTTCTTTCTTTCTTTCTTTCTTTCTTTCTTTTTCATCTTTTCTCTCTCCTGTTGTCTTGTCTTTCTTTTTCTTCTTTTCTCTCTTCTATTGTCTTGTCTTTCTTTCTTTTTCTTCTTTTCTCTCTTCTGTTGTCTTGTCTTTCTTTCTTTCTTTCTTTCTTTTTCTTCTTCTCTCTCTTCTATTGTCTTGTCTTTCTTTCTTTTTCTTCTTTTCTCTCTTCTGTTGTCTTGTCTTTCTTTCTTTCTTTCTTTTTCTTCTTCTCTCTCTTCTGTTTTCTTGTCTTTCTTTCTTTTTCTTCTTTTCTTTCTTCTGTTGTCTTGTCTTTCTTTCTTTCTTTTTTTCTTTCTTTTTTTCTTTCTTTCTTTTTCTTCTTCTCTCTCTTCTATTGTCTTGTCTTTCTTTCTTTTTCTTCTTTTCTCTCTTCTGTTGTCTTGTCTTTCTTTCTTTCTTTATTTTTCTTCTTTTCTCTCTTCTGTTGTCTTGTCTTTCTTTCTTTCTTTCTTTCTTTTCTTCTTCTCTCTCTTCTATTGTCTTGTCTTTCTTTCTTTCTCTCTTTCTTTTTCTTCTTCTCTCTCTACTGTTTTCTTGTCTTTCTTTC